TCCTGATCATCTGGTAGTTTCAGATACTCTTTAGCTACAGTTCTGTTTTGGTAATAATAAATTTTGTCCGAAGGTCATAAGGTTCTAAAACTGTCAGCTACAACGATTTATCTTATACAAGGATCCTAATGTAATGAATATGTATGTTAAGCAACAATATAATCACGGTCTGTTTGATGGTTAAACGAGACACACATTAGGAGGAGATATCCCCTGTGTCTCCCAGCGCTGCAATAAAGAATACCTGCTTGTCAACTTAAACTTTGTTGGCGAGTTCTTAACGAGTTCTACAAATCAATCCTCAACTCCATCCACATCCCCATCCCTGTCTGCATACTCAGCCCCGCCCACATCTGCGTCCCCAGCCCCATCACCATTCCTATCCCCATCCCTATTTGCAACCCCAACCCCATTCCCATCTGCATCCTCAGCTCTATCCACATCTGCATCTTCATCCCTGTCTGCATCCTCATCCTAGTGTGCACCCCCAGCTCCATCCACATTTGCAACTCCATCCTTTTCTACATCCCCAACCGCATCCCCATCCCCATCCTTATTTGCATTCCCAGCACTTAACAGCATCTCCAGTTCTGTCCACATTCCTGACCCCACCCTTACCTCTATTCATATTTGCATCCCCAACCCGATCTGTATCTTCCAACTCCATCCCCATCCCTATTCCCATCCCTATCTGTCCACAGCCCCAGCCCACAGCAGGCTCACCGTGCTCTTCCAGGCTTTTCCTGGGGGACACCCTCTTTTCCCTGTTGTTTGTCTGATGTTCCGTTGCCACTTCCCATTCAGTGGCTCACATGTGATGCCAAACCGCCTCTGCAACACTCCCTTGTTTTCACATTCCTTCCCTCGGCTCTGGCTCCAACAGCACTGAATAGCCCCAGGCTCTCCCCAGGTGGCCCTGCACAGTCACCTGCCTGCTCTGGTGCTATTAATAATCTTAATGGATCTAGAGAACATCTTCTAACTAGCTTAAATATGTCTACTGAGAAGCTGTGGCTGCCCCATCCCTCGCAGTGTTCAAGGCCAGCTTGGACGGGGCTTGGAGCAACCTGCTCTAGTGGAAGGTGTCCCTGCCTGTGGCAGGGGGTTGGAACTGGGTAAGCTTTACGAACCCTTCCAATACAAACCAGTCTGGAACTCTGTGATTCTGCTATTACAAATGGTCTGTGCAGAGTTTGAGAGCAGGAATCGCCATGGGATGCTCATGGGTGTTCATCAGCACATGGAGTCATGCAGGTGGTGCTTCTCCACTGGCTTTTAAACACTGCAGGAGCTCCTGGTGGATCTTGAGGCCCGTCCTGATGCTCCTGTACCACTAGTCTGATGTTTTCCTTGGAAGGCAGCGGGGAAATCAGTCCATCACTGCCTCACTTCTGCAGGAATGAGCTGGGACCACCCTGGGATTGTGTATCCACCATCGCTGTGTGTGCCTGGGGGGTGAAACAGAATTTTATCCTTCTATGACCTTTACCATGTAAATACTACAGCTGTGATAGAGCAGACCCTGAGAAGGGGGTTGCTCTGGAGGGTTTCCAAGCAGTCCTGGTGGGGTTCTGGTTATTTCAACCTGTTGTGCTGGTGAGGGGACACTCACCTGTCCCAGCTGCTCCATCCCCACCCTGACTTTGGTGTTCCACAAGTTAAGGCCAACAAAGTGCACTGTGTGTGGTCAGCAAGTGCACCTTTACCTGGCTGACATGGGGCAAGGGGAGGGACAGAGCCTTGTGTCCCATGAAGGATGGTGGCAATGGGAAGGGGCATCTTGGCACAGGCAAGCAGGACGTGTGGCGGAGCAGGGAAGGTACAAAGGGCAGCTCTCCAGGTATCCCGCCCAGGGCACTCCCTGCCTGCACAGGATACTCGTCTCCTTCTGTGTCATTCCTCGGCTGCTGGGAAAGGTGGATCATGGGTATGGACCATGGCCAAAAAAACTGGGGTACAGGCTGAGAACTTCCTAGAGCCAAGGGCTGATGCAAGCCCTCATGGGAAAATGTGAGATAACCCAGCAGCAAAAGGCAGCTGCAGAGTCGGGGTGAGAGCACAGTGCAGCATCGGCAGAGCGGCATGGCAGGGCTTCAGGTCCACTCGGTGCTGGTGACTGGGGCCAACCGGGGCATCGGCCTGGGCCTGGTTCAGCACTTCCTGGGGATGCCAACCCCCCCTCAGTGGGTCTTCGCAGCCTGTCGGGCCCCCACGGGACAGCGGGCACAGGTGAGGCTGGAGACAGCGGGTGCTGATGGGGGCGGAAGCTGGGGACAGGGCAGAGGCTGGAGCAGGCAGGGGCTTTGCGAAGGGCTCCAGCACCAGCGGCACAGGGCAGGGGTGGGACAGCGGCCCGTGGTGCAAGCAGGAGGCACGGAGTACTCCCCGTCCGTCGGGAGGAGGAGGCGGGGCAGGGGGCTC